ACATTAGACAACTGTTAGAAGGGACAGGGCCTCAGATGGGCAGAGGGGAAGATCTCAGTTCTTTTGAGAGTCAAGGCGAAAACACTGAGGGAGGACTGAGGGGACCCTGGACCCCAGAGCAGAGTGGGCTCTGGGAAGACATAGGGCAAACGAACACATGCTGCATTTCCTGACATCCGGGTGTCAGAGAGACTGGGTCCTGGTGTAGGGGGCTGACTTACTGACATCTGGGTCTCAGAGAGACTGGGGTCATGGTGTAAGGGCTGGGACCTTAGTAGGGGAGAGGAGAGAATCCGAAGTCCTACCAAGAGTAAAGGTGAGGTCCCTGAGGACGACTGACAGGACCCCGAGGGAAGACTGACAGAACCCCACAGATCCCCGCCCCTGTGTCAACCCTAGGAGCTCCTGGGGTGAGAAGAGCACACAAGGCCTGTGCTGACTTCCTGACATCTGGGTCTGTGAAAGACTGGGGACCTGGTGTGAGGAGCAGGGACTCAGGTTGGGAGAGGACGGAGGCCAGGTGAGTCAGCTCTTCCCATCAGGTGACCAAAGTATTGGAGGTTCAGCTTTAGCATCAGTCCTTCCAATGGATATTCAGGGTTGACTTCCTTTAGGCTTGACTGGCTTGGTCTCCTTGCTGTTCAACAGACTCTCAAGAGTCTTCTGCAGCACCACAGCAGTACTATATTATACACGGTAGTGTGTATCTGTTAATCCCAAACTCTTAATTTATTCCTTCCCCTGCTTTCCCCCTTTGGTAACCATAAGTCGTTCTCTAAGTCTGTATCTTCTCTGTAAATAATTTCATTTGTATCATCTTTTTAGATACTATAGAATATTTGTCTTTCTCTTTCTGACTTATTTTGCTTAATATAATAATCTCTAGGTCCATCCATGTTGCCACAGATGATATTACTTCATTATTTTTCATTTCTGAGTAGTGTTTGTGTGTGTGTGTGTGTGTGTGTGTGTACCACATCCTCTTTATCCCATCATCCATTGATGGACATTTAGGTTGCTTCCATATCTTGTCTGTTGTAGATAGTGTTGCAATGAACATTGGGGTGCACGTATCTTTTCATATTAGAGTTTTGTCTTTTCGGGTATATATTCAGGAGTGGGATTGCTGGATCATATGATAGTTGTGTTTGTAGTTGTTTAACAATCCTCCATACTGTTCTTCATATTGACTGCACCATTTTATATTTCCACCAACAGTGTACCAGGGTTCCATTTGCTATCCACCCTCTCCAGCATTTATTCTTCATAGGTTTTATTGATGATGGCCATTCTGACCAGGGTAAAGTGATACTTCATTGGAGTTTTGATTTGAATTTGTCTAATAATTAGGAATGTTGAGCATCTTTTCAAGTGCCTGTTGGCCATCTATGTCGTCTTTGGAGAACGGCTTTTGTGTCAGGGTCACACTGGCTGGGGGGCTCAAACTACAAACCATATTGGTTCAGGAGGCCAGCAGCTGAGGTTGAGGTGTCAGCTGATGTTGGCTCTCCTGAGGGCTGTGTGGAGAGTCTTCTCCATCCCTACTCCCTCACTTCCAGGGCATTGCTGGCCATGGTGGGCTTGTCTCGGCTCAGAGAGCTCTGCCTTCCTTTTCACCCCAATTCTCCTGTGTGCCTGTCTCTAAATGTGTCCTTCGTATGGGGCCAGCCATCCTGTTAGAGGAGGGTCCATCCTAATGAGTTCACTTGACATCCATCGGCTCTGTGAAGACCTTTCCTTTGTCTGTAAGCAGATGGCGTGGTGATGGACAGAAGGAGCCAGCCCTATGTGACACACCCATTCTGTGTCAGCGACGTGGAGGATGCTCAAACATATTGGGCTGAGGTCCGTCCCAGGGCTGTGAGCTTGGATGGCTCTGTGTCAAGCTCCTGACCTTTGTGGTTCTGTGTTTCTGCAACCACATGAGGCCCTGGGAGCCCTGGGAGTTGAGGTTCAGCTGTCTTTCTGACCGACAGCCTTACACGGGTTTCATCTTAAATGGTGTCAGGACCCTGGAGATGCAGTGGTGGCCCATGCTATGTGGACCCAGCACTGTACCCTAGCTGTGCACATTGTGCACCGGGACTGGGAGGATGCAGCCTGGCAGGAGCTGATATAGCAGAGGCTGGGGATGAGCTCTGCCCAGATCTAGGCCTTGCGGTGGGTCACTGACAAGTTTGGCCATGGAATGATCACAGGCAAGTGATGCCCTGCCCTGCGCTGCCCGCACGGCACCCAGTACTGCCCTGGATCTCAGCCTGGTTATGTTCATTTGTTTTCTGTTGAACCAGTTGGTGGGAGGAAGGGAGGAGCTGAGGGTTCTTCAGAGGGATAGTGAGTGTCCCTGGGATGGGAGACAGTGGCCCGCGATGCTTGACCACCACTCGGGGCCTCCATCCCCTCTTGTGCTATGAGGCAGAGGCACATCCAGCTCTGCACGTGGCACTTGTCTCTGTGTGAACATGTGTGTGTGTGTGTACTCATGTGTATGTGTGTGTCCAGCAGAGACCATGAGAGGCAGGAAAGCACCCAGCCTGGGTTCCATACCCCCACTGCCTGTGGCCAGGCCTAAGCAAGTCCCCTGACTCCCCAGTGGTGAGGCCCCACAGCAACACCTGTCTGCTGGTGAATCACTTGGGGACCTGATGCCTGCAGGTTCCCCGCTGGGACCTTCATGCTCTGTCCCTGTGTCCTGCAGTGGGTAGACTGAGAGCTGCCTGTGGGCTGGTGGGTTCCTGGCGCACCAGACCTCTCCTTTTTTTTTTTTTTTTTGCTCCCTCCCTCGCTTGGCCTCACCCCAAATTCCCTTTGCTGAGATGAGCCTGTCTTAAATACTCAGCCAGAGGATTCAGTTCACCACAGTTCCCTGCCGTGACAAGTCTTAGTGTCTAGCAGGTGTGACTTTTATTTATTTATTTATTTATTTATTTTCATTTATTTTGATTAGTAGGCGGCTAATTACTTTACAATTTTGTAGTGGTTTTTGCCATACATTGACATGAATCAGCCATGGATTTACATGTATTCCCCATCCCGATCCACCCTCCCACCTCCCTCTCCACCTGGTCCCTCTGGGTCTTCCCAGTGCACCAGCCCTGAGCTCTTGTCTCATGCATCCAACCTGGGCTGGTGATCTGTTTCACCCTTGATAATATACATGTTTCGATGCTGTTCTCTCTGAACATCCCACCCTTGCCTTCTCCCACAGAGTCAAAAAGTCTGTTCTGTACATCTGTGTCTCTTTTTCTGTTTTGCATATAGAGATATCATTGCCATCTTTCTAAATTTCATATATATGCGTTAGTATACTGTATTGGTCTTTATCTTTCTGGCTTACTTCACTCTGTATAATGGGCTCCAGTTTCATCCATCTCATTAGAACTGATTCAAATGAGTTATTTTTAATGGCTGAGTAATATTCCATGGTGTATATGTACCACAGCTTCCTTATCCATTCGTCTGCTGATGGGCATCTAGGTTGCTTCCATGTCCTGGCTATTATAAACAGTGCCCACTTCTGGGCATACACACCGAGGAAACCATATCAGAAAGAGACACGTGCACCCCAATGTTCATCGCAGGTGTGACTTTTAATCACTTTGTTCTCCTTCTGTGTCCTGTCTTTGCACACAGGTCTCACGGACATTGGGGACACTTTGCTGTGCCCAGAAAACCTAGGACACGACCAGGTGGAGGAGCTGGAGATCAGGCCCTGTTACCCGACATGGAAGAGAAGTACCTGACTGTTCTCACCAATCACTGCTGGCTGGTGCATCCTGTCCCGGAGAGGGGTGGGAAGGACATCTTACAGGTGGACATCCCTGAACACATGATTTCCCTTTGGGCAGGCCTGTCCAAACTGGGCTCTCGAGAGGAAAGTGACTGAGAAACCAGCTCATGGTGACACCATCCAGTCACCGCTGTGCCCTGGACGTGCCCATCTGGTTCAGTCTGAATGGGCCCTGCCCACTTGGTGTGGGGCCAGGGGCCGGACTCCCCTCATGCGGTGCTGCTCTGGACTCAGTGAGAGTCTCTGGGACTTTGTCCTTTATGAAAACATGGTGTTGCCAGTCGTTTTGGCCCTGCTGGGTCTGGGTGGTTGAGAGAAAAGTGTTGTTAGGAAACCAGTTAGTGTTTTTCCCTCTCTGTTCTGGTCCAAACTCCCCGATGTTGGAACAGTGTCCAGGGGGTGATGGGGAAGGCTGGGGGCTGGGCAAAGCATCAGAAGGCAGAGAGGCCCAACAGGCCCAGAGACAGGCCGTGGTGTGTCCTTTCACGTGACCCTTGTCCTACTGTAAAGTGTCCCTTGGCTCACAAGGCATGTGTGTAGGATGCAGCGCCTGGCCAGATGCTACACATCCAAAGACAGACTCCTAAACACAGCTGTGAGGGCAGAGAGACAAAGGATGTTGTTCACCTTGTCAAACCATGTACTTGTCTTTGGGTTTGGGGTCATGGGATTTCAAGGCCCTTGGTGGGTGGGGTGACCCTTCTTTCCAGTCAGGCTCTTGGGGAGGACCCTGGATTGGGAGCTGGAGACACTCAGCTGCTGATCAAAAACTTTTGGCATTGTTAGGGGACCCTTGAGGAGCCCCTTCTGCTTCAGGGTGGATGGATCATGGAAGGTGACAAACCCAAGGTCAGGAACCCAATTGGGCTGTCTACTGAGCAGCAGGCAAGGCCCAGGGACCTGTCCGTCCTGGGCTTGCCTCAACGCTTGGCTCATGTGTCAGACCCTTGGCCAAGCGTGTGAAATGCTGCTGCTTCAAATGAAAAGGGACCATGGGGACTGGACCGAAGGTTTCCTAGAGCGTGGGCTTCCAGCCTCATCTGGCTCACCCAGTGCCATGTGAATAGCATGGGCATAGAGAAAGAACAGAGTCACAGTTCTCGTTTGATTCTTTATTTATTCCTGGGGAGTTTGTTTTACTTTATTAGAGCCAGAAATAGATTTTCGGTTACAAGAGAGTGCTTTTCACAGTCCCTAGGGATCTGGCAGTTCAGGGATTGGGCTTGTCCTTGAAATGCTTACAGAGGGCACACTTGTAATCTGAGATCTCACCCTGCTCTTCCTCTGACTCAGGGGCATCATCTGGGGCCATGACTGAAAGGGCCGCCATCAGGATGGAGTAACAGGTCTTGTACACATCCATCGCTGAATCATAATCTGGGTACTCCAGGGAGTTCCCAGGCAGTTCCCTTGAGCTGTTCCTTCCAGCAGTAGCCAGGGGTATAGATGTTGCATTGCTGGACATGCCCTCCCCACTGAGGCCACCATGCTCACTGGGGAGATGGTTTCCTCCACCCTGCCTGTGTACGCTGCCCATAGAGCAAAGGCCAGAGAACACAAGTGAGCGCCGACTGGGGGTTCTGCAAGCAGTTGGGATTCCCTTCTGGACTTTCCTGCCTGCTTCTTGGGTGCACTGGTCGTGGTGGAGTCGAGGAGAATGTCTGGTTTCCACCGCTTGCTTCTTTCTCTTTGGAATGGTTGTTGTGCTGGTGGCAGGCTGAGCCGTTGTTCTGGGGTTGCCTTTCCTCCAGATGTTCTGCAGGAGGAGAGGCTTGTCTCTCTGAAAATTGGAGTTGCGATAGATCTGAAAGGACAAGAATCACTTTAGCCATCGTGAGGGAGAAGAGCTGTTCCTTGCCACCTGCCTTCCCACCACCATACTGGCCATGCCTAAGTATGGAGACAAGGTCTCTTCATTCTTGGCAGGTTGTGAGGCCCTAGCATGTCGATCCCTAGAGCACCCTTCATTCTTGGCAGGTTGTGAGGCCCTAGCATGTCGATCCCTAGAGCTCCCCCTGGGCTGGCCTCTCTTGAGATGTTACTGGTGCTCCCTGAGGAGCACCTCAAGTGGCCCCTCAGGGTATGGAGTCACCCCTGTGGGTCCTGTCTAAGTGGGGTGGTGGAACATGACAGACTCTGCTTTCTCCTCTTTCCTTAACTACTCTCTCAAGAGAAAAATGTTATCCCGGGAAATGAAACCTGTCCAGCATTTGGCACATCTAGTCTAGTCTCCCCGCAAGGGCTTTCTACACTGGCATCATCCTCTTCTTCCCTGCATAGTGATCTGAAGGGTGGATTTTACTGAACCCATACTGCTTCAGTTCACAGATGAAACTCTTGACGCTGTCTGTCTCAAAGATCTTGTCCACACATCTGTACTGGGGGATATCTGCCTCTGTCTGGAAGAAATCTGACTCGATGACACTGTGTCTCCCTCGTCATTCCAGTGCACAGAGGTGAAGGCCACATCCTCCACGATCACCCAGAGCTTCCTGGGGAAGGAGAGTCTGAGGATGCTGTTGTTCTCTTCCTCATTAGGCATTTCTGGGTTTGGGCCCTGTGGAGGTGGTTTGTCACAGAGGCCTGGATCTAGGCTCTCAGGTTGGTCACGCTGCTACTGCAAAGCCTCCCCTAAATCCACATTTGGATCCGGGGAGGAATCACAGGGGTCCCCTGCTGAGGGCTCCCCATCAGTTGATGGGGGCAGTGGGGCTGCACGTGCCTCATGGGAACTCTGGCTAGTCATGGAGCTAGTCAATGTCAGGAGCATTCTCTACCCCAGCAGTGAATGCTCAGGGCAGAAGGGCCTCAGACCAGGGTCGGGGTGCCCAATAAATACTCTCTGGAGATTCTAGAATCTGGGTCACAGGCCAGGCAGGTAATTAAGTGGTCAGCTTCCTTAAAAGATAACAGTATTTACTGTTGAAGATGAAAGTGAGGTTCAGGAAGGGGGTAAAATATGGACTTTTGTTTTTACTCAATTGTATCATTTAATATAATTATTGGATAAATGTTTGTCCAAGTAAATAAAAGGATAAATATATGTGACTTACCATTCAAGAGGGAAAACCAGACACAAACAATACCTATAGAATGATCCCATTTGAATAAAGCAAAGCACATTGTATATGTATATATTTACATATATGAACGTGAAAGGAATAACATTGGAAGGGTGTTCACTGAGAGTTTGACAGTGTTCATCTCTGTGAAGGGAAGGGGACAGAGTTGAGAGTGTGACACTCTTTCTTCTCTATTCTTCCCATTGTTTGAACTCTTTACAAAGAAAATACAGTCAGGGAGCATGGAAGCTGCTTTTATGTGTCAACTTGGCTAGGCTATACTGCCCAGTTGCTTGATTAAACATGTCTCTAGATGTTGTTGTGAAGTTCTTTTTAGATGTGATTGACATTTAAATTAGTGGACTCTAAATAGATTATTCTTCATAATCTATGTTGGCTGCATCCATACAGTTGAAGGCTTTAAGAGAAAAAGACTGAGGTCCCTCAAAGAGGAAGAAATTCTGCCTCCAGACTGCCTTTGGACTCAAGCTGTAAAATTGACTTTTCCCTGAGCCTTCAGCCTACATGCCTGCACTGAACAATTCAGAGATACAGATATAGATACAGACATAGCTATAGATACAGATATAGTGTGTGTGTGTGTGTGTACACGTGTGTGTGTGTGTGTGTGTGTGTGTTTCAAACACATGCATTGGAGCTGAAAAGGCCTGACTTGGAATTCCAGCTTCCTCACTTTTGTGTTCTTACCCAATTAAATTAAACTTTATAGATTTCTATTTACTCGTTGGTATAAACAAGGGAAATAATGGAAATAATCATTTGCCTTACTCTGAAAATCAAATGATATAGTGCTCGCGTGGTTCATTGAGCATTATCACAATTCAGCAAATGCCATTTATTGTGATTAAAAATGTTTTTCAGGTTTCAGGGTAGTTTTCGGCAGACAAATTTGTCTGAGAACAACAGGAAAATCCCATTAAAACATGATGTATTCCTGCCACAAAAACATAAATGATAGTTATATGATTTGACAGACGTGTTAGCTAACCTTAAGGCTGTAACGCATTACAACATATAAGTGTATAAAGTCAATGCATTGTACACCTTAAACTTACATGATGATATAGGTCAATTACATCTCATTTTAAAGGAATTAAAATATATATATAATGCAGGATAATGGCATGAGGGTGGACTAGGAATAACTATAAATGAGAAGGGTACCTAAAGTTCATCTGCATGGAGGATTTGTTACCGATACAAGCTCTTCAGGTGGCACAGGTGGTAAAGAATTCGCCTGCCCATGCAGGAGATGTAAGATACGTGGGTTGAATCCCTGGGTTGAGAAGATCTCTTGGAGGAGGGCATGGCAACCCACTCCGGCATTCTTACCTGGAGAATCCCACAGACAGAGGAGCCTGGCAGACCAGAATCCATAGCGTTGCAAAAAGTCGGACACGGCTGAAGCTATTTAGTATGCATGCAAACACACCAAGCTCATACTGCTAAGCACATGACAGGCCAAATACATAGAGAGACAAAGTGTTGGGGCAAGCAATAGTGACTTTATTCAGAAAGTCAGTAGATGAGAAAAATGGACCATTTGTATCCCAAAGAACCATTTTACCCGAGTTAGAATTCAGGCTTCTTTTATAGTAAAAAGGGAGAGTGTGGCTGGTTGTTGCAGACCTCTTGGTACCAGACAGACCCTGGAAGAAATGTGATAATTCCTTGTTCTTGCAGGTGTCCAGGTAGGTCACATCATGAAATTCCTGTTAACCTTCAATAAGACAAATGTTACTTTCTGTTCTGCAACTTTTTATCTCTGGATGAATGAAAAGTGTTGTGACCTTTAAGGTTACAGCCTGGGAGTCAGAGACTTGAGAAAAGGTCTATTATATATTTTAGGCTATAGGCAATGTTCTCTTACTGATTGAAGAGATGAAGGTGCAGAGCCAGCATGTCTAAGCACAGGTGACAGAGCACAAAGATTAGAGCTAAAGGAAGAGATTCAATAGGGATTCAGACTTGTTCTTCTCTGATACAGATTTATGGGATTTTCTACTGTTCCTTGGACTGTTAATATACATGAACATTTTTTCCGTTGTATATATGCAATATTTAACAACAATAACATTAGATTACTAAATAGCAAAAACAATTCAAAATACGACAAAAAAAGTTTAAAGCCATTGGAGAACTGCTGAAGTGATCAGGACTTAAGGAGCCAACATGCTGGAGAAAGGAGAACCATGGAAAGATACACTGACATATTGCAGCTTCTTTTCCTCTGGAGAAAGTTTCCAATTCTAGGGCACAGTGAAGGAGGATGAGAATCCAGGCTTCATCCAGGTAGATAGCGATATCTGGTGACCAGAAAACCAACGCAGATTTCAATGGTCTCACAGGCCCAGAGAGACAAAATTAGAGACTTAAGGAGCCAAGATTGCAATGAAAAAGAAGAGATGGAGGACTGAGTCTGTCACATTGCAGTCAGAAGCTAATGAGCTAAGCAGAAAGCCTTTCTAAGACAGATAATAGTATATGTCTCATGGTAAGAAAAAGAAATAAAAAATATTCATGATTAGAAAAGAAAAACTGCTATTAGCTGAGGACAACAGTTTTTATATATAAAAATCTCATGAAGTGAAAGTCACTCAGTCATGTCCAAATCTTTGCAACACCATGGACTGTTGGACTATACACTGTATACATTATAGAGTCCAACAGTCCATGAACTTCTTCAGGCCAGAATACTGGAGTGGGTAGCCTTTCCCTACTCCAGGGAATCCTTCCAACCCAGGGATTGAACCGAGGTCTCCCGCATTGCAGGCGGATTTTTACCAGCTGAGCCACAAGGGAAGCCCAGGAAAACTGGAGTGTGTAGCCTATCCCTTCTCCAGTGGATCTTCCAGATCCAGGAATCGAACCATGATCTCCTGAATTGCAGGCAGATTCTTTACTTACTGAGCTATCAGGGAAGCTCCCAAATCTCATAGAATCTGCCAAGAAAAACCTACTAGAAGTAATAAGTGACTTTAGCAAGGTTGCAGGGTATATGTGTGTTAGTCGCTTACTTGTGTCTGACCACATAACCCCATGGGCTGTAGCCCGCCAGGCTCCTCTGTCCATGGGATTCTCCAGGCAAGAATACTAGAGTGGATTGCCATTTCCCTCTCCAGGAGATCTTCCTGACCCAGGGATTGAACCCGGGTCTCCTGCATTACAGGCAGATTCTTTACCATCTGAGCTATAGGGAAGTCTGGGACTTCAAAGGGG